ATGATAAATATTTGGGGCACTGCATGCCATAGTGTTGAAGTAATTTCCAAATTACTTCTCGGTTAAAGCTATCTGTCGAAGGTCATTTTGAAGTCGATGAAGGAAGTTAACGTAGAGGTTTGACTACTATTCTATGCTTTGTTCTGTGATGGTGATGCGTGGAATAGCAATTCGATCAGCACATGATTTGCCTTTTCTGAATCCAGCTTTTTCTGTAGGGAGTGGAGTTCTGTAGTGGACAACAGCATTATTCCATACCAGTTCTTGCAGAATGAGGCCGAAGTCACCCTTCTTTGGTAGCAGAGAACACAACCAAGTCAAAATCCATCCATCCAACTACAAATCTTCTCTATTATTATTATTATTGATCACACGCCATTAGTATTCGTTGTCTTTATGATCAATATGACTAAAGAATTTGAAATATTTTGTATTACATTTCTATTAAGTTGTTGTTTGCGTGTATACAGTAATTAAGAAGTAATTGACGAAGTAGAAATGACGTCATTTGACTCCACTCAATGTCTTCGTTTTTTCTAACTATGTGAATTACTTTTTAGGGCGGTATTTAAAGCAAAGTTTATCCTCCAAGTATTGTCTTATTCAGATGGTTGGAGGCAATCAGCAGGAAGCCTTGAACTAGACACATTACACTCATTGCTTACTGGTGTCCAATCAAGACTGTATTATTCAATTGTAGGGCTTATGAAGGCTTGGTTAATCTCCCATTGGACAGACTCCTTTACGAAATTTAAATCTAATTGCCTTTACTTGGTTAAAGATGCCTATTAAGTATTTTAAATGAGTCAGTTTAGTGAATACAGGACTATTCTTTCCGATAGCTGCTTATTTATCAGGTTCTACATCCATAGTAATCAAAACATTACTGGTGTGGTGAGAGCTGTCTGCTAGCCGAAATCGGTAGACAGCAATGTACGTCAATGTTTACGTCCCAAATCTTGGTCATGAGAAAAAAACAAGAAGAAAGACTAACTCCAGCAACCAATCACAGCAGACTTTGCGTGGGCGGATACTATTCGCAGATATATGGTCTGACCTTCAAAGAAACGGCCACAAAGAGATGACAGGATAACTTCCAGTCAGGAAACAATTAGTCAGAAGACTCTGTTTCTCTGCTAATAATAACGAATAATAAATAAAAATATATTTTTCTTTTTCTTTTCTGTCATAGAAACTTCTCAGTTATCTACACAATACGTGGGAATCTTGCCAAAAGAGTACGAATTAAACTTCTTCAAACTGCAGAAGCAATGGCAATTCACATATTGAATCCTGAACTCTGCATACAAAAGAAGTTTGTTCAGTCACTAAATCTGCAATGGTCCTGATCTATCTCAACACCAAATACTTAATTTTGTCTTACCTCTTTCTTCTTTGTTTGTCTGTTTCTTAATTGCATTATTTTCTACCCCCACCCTCTATTAAATCTCTACCCTCATGACGACTGTTGCTAACTCCATTTTCGTTTATTTTTAAGTGAATTCTACTCAGCTTATCAACTTAACTCTTATTTATTTTCAAGTGAATTCTACTCAGATTATTAACTTGACTCTGATTCATTTTTCATTGAACCCTAGCAATTGATTACGTCACCCAACCTACTTTTGTAACTTTATTTTAGTTTCTAACCGATTAACGCCTTCTAAATTACGTAATTTGTTGTCAAAAATTAACAATTGCATTAACACATCTTTGGAAATATTCCTTTTGTTGCTAAGAAAAATTACTATAAATTTGCGGTTTGTACAGCTTGAGAATGATATCGCCGAAAAGAGTAACTCTTTGCTGAACGCCTTTTCTTTTCTATGACTGAATGGGAATTTTCAAATTACTTTTTCTTTTCTTTTGATTACAGCTTGATGCCACACCGTATTTTCAGTACAAGTATGGAATTTTCAGCATGGATATCGGTAGCCCAAATTTTGCAGGCCGACCATAGATATCGGGTGTGCGTCGGCAGGGGATTGAACCCTGGACCATGTGCATGGTCGGCGAGAGTCCTAATCACTGTGCCACCGACGCATGCATCTGTTGACTTTCTCAATAAACGATCTGTTTCCTGGCCCTTGTCTTCTGTCGTTACACTGGTATTGACAACATTAATAATGTTTTAAATGACATTGAATCAGTAATGTCATTGGATTACAGTTCAAAAGCATCTGGGAGTGACAAAATTCAGAAAAATGTAATACTGAACTGAATCAGATCAGTTAAGAAAAATTGGTACAGAATTGATTCTCGAGTATTGGTTCTTGTAAGGATTATTGTTTGATTGGTTGGAGGATTTCATCATGAGCTGAGATAGGTTAGAGAACTATTGGAAACCACGAGAGAGTACTGGACAGCTGTCTCGTCTGCCTAGTTTGGGACTCTTCATCAGTGCGCACCCATCCACCAGGGTTTCGAACCCAGGCCCTTCTCATTCATTACATGGCAAGGCAGCTCGTATACCATTCAGCCACTGGGACCTGATCCAATGGTCAGTCCATGAATTCTAACTTCTACCAATTCATGGCATAGTGGTACCTCTTCTCAATGTCTTCTTCTTCGATGATTTGCTGCCTCACCTTCAACCTGCTGTGGCCTACTGGTCACGGCTTCCCATTAGAACCCCACGTAACTATCTACCTAAATAGAGGCAGTCTCTGGTGAACATAAGATAAATTTTCAAGTATTGGTTTTCGTAGGGATTATTGTAGTACGCACCCACCACACGAACCCAGGACCTCCTCGTTGCAGGGCGAGCTCGTAGACCACTGAGCCACTGGGACCCGATCCAATGGCCCATGAATTCTAACTTCTGCCAATTCACGATATAGCGCAACCGCTAGCCAATGTGTCCGGCGAGTATTTGTCCTCACACCCGACATGCTGCACCCTACTGATCACGATTTCCCACTAAAACCCCAGGTAACTACCTACCTGAAAAGGGCCAGTCGCCAGTGAGCATCTCACTGATATTCAAGTATTGGTTTGTAGGGATTTGGTTGATTGGTTACAGGATTTCATTATGAGCTAGCGGTTGCGCTAGATCGTGAATTGGCAAAAGTTAGAATTCATGGGCCATTGGATCGGGTCCTAGTGGCTTAATGGTCTACGAGCCAGCTCGCCTTGTAACCAGAAGGTCCTGGGTTCGAACCCGGTGGGTGCGTACTGCTGAAGTGTCCCAAACTAGACTGACGATACAGATGTCCAGTACTCTCAGGTTTTCCAATGATTCTCTAACCAATGTCAGCTCATGATGAAATCCTGTAACCAATCAGCTAAATCCCTACAAATCAATACTTGAACTGATGTTTGTCCTGAATGCCATCAAGATGCTAAAAGCTGGGAAAGCGCCAGGACCAGATGGAATCCCAGCAGAAGCTTTGAAAATAGACCCAGAGACAACAGCGGACTTGATGACGCCACTACTGGAGAAGGTGTGGAAAGAGGGCAAAGTACCCGAGGATTGGAAGAACGGATACTTATTCAAACTGCCAAAGAAAGGAGATTTGAGTCAATGTAAAAACTGGCGTGGAATTATGCTTCTGTCCATTCCAAGCAAGATACTATGTCGCATCATCCTGGAGAGAATTAAACAAGCCCTAGATGAAAAACTTCGACCGGAACAGGCCGGATTCAGGAGGAACAAGTCATGCATTGACCAAATCGCCACCCTACGGATTATCATTGAACAAAGTTTGGAATGGCAGTCACCTCTCTATCTCAACTTCATCGATTTTGAGAAAGCCTTCGACAGCGTCGATCGAGAGGTGATTTGGCAACTACTTCGCTACTACGGGGTGCCGCCGACAATTATACATCTCATCCAACAGCTGTATGACAACGCTGCATGCCAAGTAATCCACAACGGGAGGCTCACGGAATCCTTCGAAGTGAGGACGGGAATGAGACAAGGCTGTCTACTGTCACCAATGATCTTCCTGATTGCAGTGGATTGGATAATGCGGCAGACAATGGCAACCAACGAGGGAACAGGCATAAAATGGACCGACACAAAAGCCTTGGAGGATTTGGATTTCGCCGATGATATGTGTCTGATTTCCCACAAACTGGAAGATATGCAAGCAAAAAGCAACAAGTTGGCAGAAGAAGCATCAAAGATAGGACTTCAAGTGAACATAGACAAAACAGAGGTAATGAAGATTCCTGGCCAACATCAACAGCAACAACCGACAACAATCAGCACAAATGGGAGGAACCTGAAGGAAACAACTTCTTTCACCTACCTGGGAAGCATCGTCTCAACTACAGGAGGAACTGACGAGGATATCAAAGCCAGAATCGGAAAAGCAAGACAAGTTTTCATTTCTCTCAAGTCTATGTGGAGGTCAACAGCATTCAGCGTCAAAAATAAGATCCGTATTTTCAACTCCAATGTGAAGTCAGTACTACTATACGGATCAGAGACTTGGCGTGTCACAAAGAGCAGCTCAAACAAGCTACAGACCTTCATTAACAAATGCCTTCGCTCAATACTCAAGATCAAATGGCCGGAGAGGATCAGCAACAAAGATCTCTGGGAGCGAACCAACCAGGAACCGATCGTGAAACAAATAGGCAGGAAGAAATGGAGATGGATTGGACACACTCTGAGGAAACCAGCAAGTGACATCACTAGACAAGCCATTGTTCGAGTGGAACCCGAAAGGGAAGCGACGAGTTGGTCGTCCAAGGGTGACCTGGAGGAGATCATGTGAAGAGGAATTGAAAGCGTGTGGGCAGACTTGGAGCCAGGTGAAAACCACAGCAGAGAACCGAACGCAATGGAGACGCATGGCTGAAGCCATATGTTCCTCTAGGAATTAAAGGAAATAATAATAATAATTGTCTCGGAGATCTACGTCTGAGTCACCCAGTGCGACAGTCAAAGACATCACCAATGAACTATTCGGTTACACGACTAACCACTTGTAGGACTATAATGCCTACTACACTGAATATTGTCAAAATAACATAAAACTACAAAAACTTACACCAATTAAACAGATACCATTGATAATCAATCCTAAGCCTGCACTATTTCCTCTACCAATTTTATATGATACCGGTCCAAAGATATTTGCTCCAATCAGGTAAGAAATACTAGCCGGCAAGAAAGCGGTTCCTTGTTGCCATTCTTCAGAGTTCATCGTCTTTTTCATCCATGATGGTAAAGTTGGTTCTAAGATTGCAATACTTAAATTTCCAACTGTTATAGAACCTTAATTTCAAAAATAAATAAATAATTAAATAAAATGAAAATTAGAATATTGATTTTGATAAAAATTGTCACCGTGATATACAGTGAGTAATATATTTACTGATGACCACATTTCGAGCACAATGCACTACCGCTCACATAATCATATCAAGACACTAGTCACTCACACAACTTTCTGACTTCCTCTGTAGAATTCCACTATTTTGCTTCTCTTGATTTGATTGGTAGTAATATCTTCCATACATATCTCTGGTATTTGCGCTGAGTCTCTTCTACTGCGCATCTGTTGGGTGTAGACTGGATGAACAAGGATTCAGTAATCAATCTCCCTCTCCACCTAATTTCGCAATTGTAACACCCCCCCATCCTGTTGTATGGTTATGTGTTAAGTCACGCAGTGCTATTGCTGAGCTTTTTTCTAAATTACTTGTCTTCGCGGGGTCAGTCATTCTAACTTTAGCTAAATTCTTATGTTCTGACAGTCTGACTACCACCGATCTACTAGTTTGACCTATGTAGTTAGTTGACCCCATTCACAGTCATTGCAAGGTATTTTGTAAGTTATATTATTCTGTCTAATTGGATCTGCCTGCAGAGTCCTTTAACCTACTGAGGTTGTCCTACTTGAGTGAGTTGGTAGATTTGAATGCCCCATCCAAATTCCTGCTTTATTAAGAATCCTACATAGGGAGGGTCTCAGATGTCCCTTCCTTACGTGGTAAAACCGTAGACGCCTTATAATCTTTCTTATTTATGTTATCATTATTAGATTCACCATTATTTTGACTTTGCTTTTGACCTTTTTAGATTTTCCTAATAAATTTTATGCGATAGTTATTTGACATCAACGCCTCTTCTATCTGTTTCATTTCATCGTTTAGGTTGTTTGTCGTACTACTTAGCGGGGTTATTGCTCGGTTTGTTAGACAGCACTTAACTAAGCTGCCTTCACAGACAGACAACATATGAGATGATAAAGTCTAATTATCTATTAGAATGCGTTGGCTTTTTATAAACGCTTGTGCGTAGTTTACCTTCTTCTATTCGTTTTATTTTATACTCTAACATAGCTGATTCTCCTTGTTCATTTTCCTATTCAAATGTGAATTTTATTCCCTTTACTAATGAGCTTATGCATGTATGAAATAGCTAGAGATATGTTCTGTTTTTAGCCCTGTGAGTAAAAGTGTCATCCACACATCTCCACCATATTTTCGGAGTAGGATTAAATGTATTTAGAGCGATATTTTCCCAGCGATCCATAAAGATGTCTGTTAAGATAGGGGATATTGGTGATCCATGCCATTGCTACCCCATCAGTTTGTCTATATATTTTGTCTTGAAATTTAAAGATAGTAGACGTAAGACATAATTGAATTCCTAAAATAATTTTCTCGATGGGCAGCTTTGTCCTATGACTAAGTTCAGCATCAGCATTTGGTTCTCTTTTAAATGCTTCTAAGGCTACCATATTGATTGGTATATTAGTGTAAAGACTAGTTATATCAAAACTAAACATTTCTTCATTATTCTCTAATTGAATGTGATTTAGTTTCCTTTTCATTTCATACGAATTAGTTTGTCTAGAGTTTGAATGGTAAATAGTTAGTACTTGAGCTAAGTGTTTTGATAATTCATAAGTAGGCGTATTTCTGAAATCTGACATTGTGTTCGAAATGTGGTCATCAGTAAATATTACTTCCTGTATAACACTGTGAAATTTTAGTAAATTAAATTTTCACCATATAATGGAATTATACTCTACTACAGTGCCTGAGTTCTATTCGTATAAAAATGAATTGGTGTTTATCGAAAAAGTAATTCTGTGGTGAAAGCTGTCTGCAAGCCGAAATTGTAGACAACAATTTAAGTCAATGTTTATATTCTGAATTGGGGTCATGAGAAAAGACAATAACAAAGCTTAACCTTGAGGGACCCACCAGCCAATCGCGGCAGACTTAAAGTGTGCAAATAGGATTTGCGTGTATATATGGCTTAACTTTCTAAGAAACGGCCGCAAGCAGTATAGAATAACCTTCAGCTTTTCCACTGACAATAATGTACATAAAAATCTATAAATATCTGTTGATTTTCTCAATAAACGATCTGTTGCCTGGCCCTTGTCTTCTGTCGTTACAGTTCTACTATTCGTGGGAATAGGATGCTGGTTGCGGGACTAAAACGTAAACAGTCTCAGAATGTGGATAAGATCCAAGAATAAGACTGAGAATTCCGTTTAAAAGTTGAATTCTATTGCGATAAGTTAGAAGAAGTCATAAGAAAGCTACAACTCCAAGTCAGAGTAGAGAAGACTCAGGTTATAAAGATATCCAGCCCTGAAAACAACAAGTACCAATCACCATATATGGGGGAAATATGATTAGAGTCACCTCAATGATACAATGAGATTCCAAGTGGCGGAGTCAATAAGCGACGCAGCAAAAGCTTTTGAAAACGAAGTAAACAGGCACTTCAAGGAACTGCTTGCAGAAGGACTAATCGATAACAGCACCTATAATGGCCTCAAAGTAAGGGGTTCACGCCTACCATTCAAATGTGGTCAATCAACCCAAAGTCCACAAATCTGATGTACCATTGAGAGCTATAATATCAATGGTGAAATCATCATGCCATAAACTGGTTAAGTGTTTGGCACAAAAGTTAGAACCAATTCGACAGGAGTTGGCAGTCCACAGTATCAAGGGTTCCTTCCAATTCTGACAAGAATTAGACCGACTGAACATTTCGGACAAACTTGCCATATCATACGATGTGTGTCCTCTGTTTACTGGAATACCCATTAAAGAGACAAGGAGAATCATATGCCAGCAGTCCGAACTACTTCCTCTTCCTGAAAGGGAGCTACGAAAATCACTACTTCTTTGTACAAGGAAGTCTAGTTCCAATTCAACAACCAACTGTACCGGTAAATTGACAGGGTGGCCATGGGTTCTCTTTTGGATCCTGTTCTTGCGGACATATTCATGGCTCATACTGAAGAGACACGAATGAAACCGGAGATAGAAAGGACCACCTATTACTGAAGATATGTTGATGACACACTTGTGATTTGCAGCAATATTGATGAAGCATCCACGATGTTCGGAAACCTCAGTGCAGCACACCCTCACAGAGCATTTACAATGGACCATGAAAAGGACAATCATTTCCGCTTCTTAGATCTCAGCATAAAAAGAAGAAATGATGGGACAGTTGAAAAACCCATCTACAGGAAAGAAACTTGGACTGGCCACTACTTGAATTATCACAGTTTCTGCCCGATTGAATACAAACGGAGCCTGACAGAAACGCTATTCAGCAGATCTACGGCGTTGTGTTCAAAAGATAAGATCTAAGAGGAACTCGCAGTGTTTGAAAAGAACCTTATGGAAAATGCATACCCTTGAAAGTGTATATCGAAATATGGGAGGGATAAACCACTTAGACCGAAACCAGAAATAGTTAACAAGCAACCAGTTTTTATTTGTCGAGAAGACAAAGGTAAAGGAGTGTCCGTAAGAACGGAAAACAGAATTAAAGGTGCTTTGAAAAAGACATTTCCCGCAGCTAGACTCATTCCACTTTACAACAAGGTATGCTGGTTAACCCAGTCAAAAGTAGATAAGTATCCTGCTTAGCATGTCAACTCCAACTGCATTTACCAATTCGCCAGCACTTGAGGCATAAAGTACATAGGAAGGACTGAGAGGAGAAAGTCTACTAGATTCTCCATGCATATGTCTAAAAGTTCCCGTTTGAAAGGCAGTTAAGTGTTCTCAAGAGCATTTGTCAGACACCTAATTTACGCGGGACATACAGTGGAGATTAGTCAGGCCTTCAAAATAATTAATACACAAGTAAAAGCATGGTCACTTTGGTTCAGAGAAGCCATTGTCACCAAAAGACTTCCCTCCACCCTATGCCTACAGTAAGAGAATTTGACTAATCTCTCACTATCCTACCCGGTAACCGTAATTGTTTTGTTCGTGTGCTTTTGTGTTTTTGTTCTGTTGCGTGCATAGCATTCCACTCAATCTTAATTTTGATTTTCGCTGACTAAGTTGAACTCACTGTTAAGGTTCCAAATCTAATAAATTAAATTATTTTATCTATTTTATGATTTTACTTCATTATTCAATCCCGACCATCCTCCTGGACTCTCCACCATAATATGTATAAATTAACTCTATTGTTCTATCTTGTAATATGTCTCTAGTCCATCCTTGTTTCCAAGACGAATCTGAACTTCCCCCTTCTATAGTTACAATAAGAAGTAATTACTCATTTTAACACTAAATAATTGTCTACTTACATCATCTTTGGAATGATGTTACTTATACTTTCTGTCTGTAGTTTGAAATCATCGTAAAAAGTATGTTCAGATGTTATTTTATAACATATAATTGATTTATTTGGGATGTAGACAGTTGAAGAGAATCGACGAAATGAAACGAACTCGTGTTATCTTGCATTTAAGTGATCGTTCTTTCTTTATTCAAAGTAATAAAGGAAACCGGCTGTATGAAGGTCATATCTTCCACCTAACTGGTTGAAGGGATCACTGAGTCCCCAGAGAGCATTTTTGATAGGCTTCAAAACCTGCCTTTGGATTCAGCGAACGATGAGGAGACTATTTAATTGAATTGTAGATTTTTCCGTCGATTGATTGAACCAAAGTACTCGGTCTCAGGTTTACATGTAGGCTTCTTGTGCAGATGCTTCGACGATGTCTGGGCATGTAATTAGAAGTTAATTTGTGGATGGTGACTAGAAGTGGAATCCAGCATAACGCGCATTTCTTCCTATTTTTGGGACTCGTCCGCTAGCCGGATGTACCTGAATTCCCCAGTGAGTGAGGATGTTCCCACCGAGGCTCGAACCCAGTGCCCATAGTTTCAAACGACAAAGCGTTATCCACTATACTACTTAGGCCACAAGAGCTACCTCTTGAGCACTTCGGTCCAATCAGTCGACGGGAAAATCCGAAATTCAATTAAATAATTAATGTGACTCGCTGCACAAGAGGTGGCTGTCGTGACCCAAGTGGTTTAGTGGATAACGCTTTGGCGTTTAAAACTATGGGCACTGGGTTCCAGCTTCGATGGGAACATCATCACTCACTGGGGAATGCAGGTACATTCTGCTGGCTGACGAGTCCCAAATAGGAGGAAACGCGCATGCTGGATTCCACTGCTAGTCATCATCCACCAATTAGATGAGGAGGCTGTTGACTCACACTACACGACAAGCAGTCAAATGGAATTCGAATGATAAGTGATGTGTTGTGGGTCTGAGAGTGGTATGGAGAAGGTCATGTGGAGAGGAGATGAAAGCTTGTAGTCTTTCGTGGAGTTAGTTGATAGTGATAAATGACAATCAAGTGCTCTGAGGATGTGCAGGTGAAGCTCATATTTTTCACCGGGAACTCAAGCATTCAACAATAACAGTACTAGTCTTTGTGTTACAATGTTTCTAGTCACGTGAATGATCATTTGCCTGGTTTTAAGGAAAAGGATGCATTAGAATGTCTCAAATCCTAAAATCCATCACACAGCTCACGACCCGATAGTGTGCCAAGCATTTTACTTCAAACGTGTGTTGATATTTTGTGCTATCCTCTTACTCAAATCTTAAATGCATCATTTCACAGGGATACAGTACCTGTTGCTTGGAAAGAAATAAAGCTGGTTCCTGTACCAAAGTCATATTCTTGGTCTGGTCTAAAGTTTAGACCAATCACCATGACGTCTCAAGGAGATACATCGTGCTGAGTGCAACCCAAAAGGGAAGCGGCGAGTTGGTCGTCCAAGGGTGACTTGGAGGAGGTCATGTGAAGCGGAGATGAAAACGTGTGGGCAGACATGGAGCCAGGTGAAGACTCTAGCAGAGAACAGAACGCAATGGAAACGCAAGGCTGAAGCCCTATGTTCCTGTAGGAATTAAAGGATACAATAATAATAATACCATGACGTCTCCATTTTTGAAAACTATGGAAGAACTCCTTTGAAATCTTCTAATGACCCAAAGCAGTTTGCTTACAAATGCAATAGAAGCACAATAGATGCTGGCTGTCGTTGTACTCCATCACAATATTCTTTCATGTTTCGACAAAGGCACAAAGTTTTTCCGAGCCTCCTCTTTAAACAGGCTACACTGCTGCTGTTGACTCTATTCCTAGACCATTTTTACTAAGCAATCTGATTTCAGCAAACACTGATTCCATCTGGGTCACAAGGTGGCTGGCTGTCTTCTTATTTTTCTGGTAGAAAACCACATACTGTTCTGAAAGGAAAGCTTTCCACTTCGTTGCTAACGGAAACCGGTGTGCCTCAGGTTGCTCTTATACTCTCTCCATTCCTTTTTCCTTTATTTTTGCATGACCTTCCATATTCTTCCAAGACTAATCTCATTAAATATGCCGATGATTTAACCATTTCTGTTCCAGTAGTTTCAGCTTTGGATTGTTCTTATATGAATAGATTCTTATCTGAAGATGACAATGGGTCTCACGTAAATGATCTTTAACCAAATTCATCTAACTGTCATATATTGTTGATTTTAGTTTCAGATGAGAACAAGACTTGCGTGGACTGATCCAGTAGCGTGATTCCCTTAGGGAGTAAATTTAATGTGTTTCATCTCGGCATCAATTTGTCTCCAAATCTCCGCCGGTCGTCTCATATCCTGTTGATTTCTAAGAAAATTCTTCTTTTGACTTATTATATAAAGAAGTTGAGTCTTTCTGCTGGCATAACTCAACCTCACCTCCTTTCTTACAATTTATCTATTCGTGTATTCTACCCATTAACCTTCTTTAATGTTCAACCCCACCACTTATTCTTCCCTGGACTTCTCAAAAGTGACTACCTCATATTACGTAGAACAGTGAAGGCAGTAAGTAGGCAGGATTAGTGATGTGTGTATGCCTTTGACTCAGCTAACTGACATTATTGTCAATAGGTAGGCACTTCAGCTCTTGCAAGCAGTTGGCAAAAGTTATCTTGTTTGGTTCGGAACATCCTCATTATTAGCAAACTTCTCCTTGTATGTCTTCGAGGGTAAAACCAGAAGAAACTTCATAAGAAGCATTTACGCTGGTACAGCTACTTAGTGTAAAAATTCTACCATACCACCATATTTAGCAGGGGTGGTTGTGTGTGAAGAGAGAGTCAGATGTCAGAAAAGAGCTTATAAATAGGCTTTTTAAATCAGTAACTGAACAGCAAAGTATAAGCAAAGGTTGTTATTATTATTACATGAATTGTCTATGATACTATCTACTTATACTTGATTATGCTTCCACTAACATTCACTTTATATAAAGGCTTCATTATTAATAGTATTGTTACTGTTTTAAATTTTATTTATGTGCATATTTATAAAAAGGAGCTTAATTGTTGCAATTTGTATAAAAATGCTGGAAATTCCATTCTGTAAGATTATTGTTATTTTGTTTGGAGAAAAATGATTATTAATAAATGAAAAATAAAAAAAACTAATCTTATTTGGGCGGACCACTTCAAAGGACTCTTGAACCGACCACCACCTGCAACCCTTTCAGAAATACTAACAACAGCACGTACACAACTGCAAGTTGATAAATAATCACGATTATGTGGCTGATAATGACGAGGAGAGTGAGAAGAGCAGGTCTACGTACCTTTTTTAGTGTAATGCTGCAATATGCTGGCCTCCTTCAACGAAAGCTGAAGTCTTGAATGCAATCAACCTTCTAAAAGCTGGTAAGATGGAATACCCTCTGAAGCACTGAAAGCGGACCCAGAGATGACAGCGCCAATCACCATCAACGGGAGGGATTTGAAAGAGGTTACTTCATTCACTTATCTAGGGAGCCTTGTCTCAACTACACGAGGAACGAGCGAGGATGTCAAATCAAGAATCGGTAAAGCGAGAAACACATTCATCAACCTGAAACAAATTTGGAAATCTTCGTCACTCAGAATCAACAACAAAATTCGGATTTTCAATGCAAACGTCAAGTCAGTTCTTCTATATGTACGGATCAGAAACTTGACGGGTCACAAAGAATATTTCCAACAGCCTGTTGCAGACCTTTATCAACAACTGTCTTCGCTCTATAGTGAAGATCAGATGGCCGGAATGAATCACCAACAAGAAGCTATGGGAACAAACAAAAGAAGAACCAATCGCCCAATAAATATGCAGGAGAAAGTGGAGATGGATTGGACACTCGCTGAGGAGGCCGCTGGGTAACATCACGCCTCAGGCCCTCGAGTGGAACAGTATGGACTAACATGGATGCAGGTGAAAAGTGCAGCAGAAGACAGAAACAAGTGGAGATGTGCAGTTGAAACCCTATGTTCCACTAGGAACCCAAGGGAACAATAGTAATATAATAATAATCCTAATTGGTTTTTTTAAACTAATTTTATGGGGTACTTTAAAGTAGTTGTACTATAGCATCACCAAATATTCCGGAAGGATTGCAAGCCACATCACAACAACCAACCATGTATGTCATGAATTATCGCGTGAAGTTTTAGTTTGCAAAGTTTTGATTTAATTTCAAATTAGATCTTGAAATGGCTTCAGTTAGATGACCACTGAATATCGAGGAGTACTAGACAGCTGCTTCACACTTTTTTTCAAACTTCTTAGAGCCGTGTCGTGATGGTCTCAATGGGGAAATAATCCAGAACTTTCAGGTTGCGATGTGAGCCCATTCACCATTCAACCAATAGGAGGGAATTCAATAGCCCCATGAATCCAAACTTCTATCGATTGGATATGTATATATATATATTTAATTTAATTTTTTTAAAACTTTTATTAGTGCTTGATTCCACACAGTATTTTGGTACAAGTATGGAATTTTCAGCATGTCGTATCGGTAGCCCAAATTTAGCAGGCCGGCCATAGATATCAGGTGTGCGTCGGCAGGGGATCGAACCCCTGACCATGTGCATGGTCGGCGAGCGTCCTAACCACTGTGCCACCGATGCACCTTCTTATTCAGGGCTAAACACCTATTAAGAAGCCACTGGTGAGCTATGGAATACAATTTAAAAAAATACTTAACTCACCGCAACGCAATAAAACTTACCAGCTGCAACTAGAATATATGGATCCTTTAATAATTCTGTTAAAGAAGCACCTTTTTGATTTTCACGACTAACTTTCGGTCTCAGTGTTATCAGTTGAATGACTGAAATTAAGTCAAATAGAGCATGTATTTAGTTGATATGGTAATCCGAATTCAATATACGAATGTTAGTCTCAAGAAAATCGTCAGATGTGATTTGTGCGAAGTCAAAGTAATAATCATAAGTCGAAGCTAGTGGGATAAACTTCATAGTTTGCATAGATAGTTCCAGTGGGAATCAACTAGGTGAACTCGCTCTTAGGATTCTCATCCACGAAGGTAAAATAGCTACAAAAAGACATAAAATTCAACAACAACGAGAACAACAACTAATTATCACTTTCATGTCCACGGTCTTGAATTTTATCCCTTACCAGACTACTCTTTCTTTGGTTACAGGATTTCATCATGAGCTGACATCGGTTAGAGAACCATTGGAAAACAACCTGGGAGTACTGGACAGCTGTTTCGTCCTCGTTTGGGACCCTTCACAGTATGCACCCACCAGAGCTCAAACCCAGGACCTTATAGTTACAAGGCGAGCTCGTGATTTGGCATAGGCCTTTTGGACTCAATCCAATGGTCCATGAATTCTAACTTCTGCCAATTCATGACATAGCGCTATCACCTCGCAATGTCTTCCTCTTCGGGGAGTTGCTACCTCACCTTCAACCTGCTGCACCCTTCTAGTCACGGCTTCCCACTAGAACCCAGGTGACTACCTACCTGAATAAGGCAAGTCGCTAGTGAGCGTCTCATTGTGCATCACCTTAACTAACTAACTAACTAACTAACTAACTAACTAACTAACTAACTAACTAACTAACTAACTAACTAACTAACTAACTAACTAACTAACTAACTAACTAACTAACTAACTAACTAACTAACTAACTAACTAACTAACTAACTAACTAACTAACTAACTAACTAACTAACTAACTAACTAACTAACTAACTAACTAACTAACTAACTAACTAACTAACTAACTAACTAACTAACTGTATGCATGCTCACGATTTAGTCATTGATTTGTGATTGAGTTGTTCTTAATTCTCGATTCCTGTTCGGTAGTGATGAACGGGATTATTTCCAGTAGTAATAGTAGTTTCCAATGATTTAATTGAATTTTAGATATTCCCGTTGTTTGATTGGATTAAAGTGCTCAATTAAATAATCAATATGACCTGTTGCACAAGAGGTGGCTCTCGTTACCCAAGTGGTCTAGTGGATAACGCTTTGGCGTTTGAAACTATGGGTGCACTGGGTTCGAGCCTCGGTGCAGGGAACATCATCACTGACTCACTGGGGAATGCAGGTACATCCAGCTGGCGAACGAGTCCCAGAAATAGAACGAAATGCGCGTTATCTTGGATTCCACCACTGCTAGTCACCATCCACCAAGTAAATTCTATGAGACTTTACCAAAAATAAAATCTTCTCCATAATGTTCTTTATACTCTACTGCCACATTGCTTCAGTGCTCAATTAAACCAACCAGCTCTTAGAACGCAATAAATCGAAGGGTGTTTACTTACTTCCATTGACAGCAGTCAATCCAGCAAGGATGAGAAATGGTGCTTCTTTACTAATAAACTGGAAGAGAACACCACCATAAGGAGCACCAACTGTAAAAGGAGAAATGTTCAAAGGGAACGTGAACACACTACAAATTCATGTATATATATATATCTTAATACTTGTATTACAGTTACTATTGTTCAAGAAACACATTTGTACACAATCAATGGATGGCACAATTCAGTGAAGTAAGACATAGCCTCACAACTCACTAGAACTGTAACAACAGTAGACAAGGGCCGGGCAACAGATCGTTTACTAAGTAAAATCAACACATATTTATAGATTTTAATGTACATTATTGTAGATTATTCTTATTAGAAAATACAGTCTTTTGATTGGTTGTTTCTCACACAAAGTTAACCTTGCATCACTTTGTGGCTGTGTCAGATCATCCATATGGTAACTGTATCCGCCTACGCAAAGGCTTTGTTCTCATTTTCTCACCACCAATATTGGGGACATAAACATTGACGTCAATTACTGTCTACCAACTTTGGCTAGCAGCCAGCTGTCACCACAGAACGAGCTGCCATAAAGTTGAATGTAGCATATTGATATTGATATAGAAATCAAGTCTGAAGTTAAGTATCTTGGACTAACTCTTTCTTTTGATCTATCATGGTCTTTTCATGCCTGACATTTTGCGCTAAGAGGTTAAGGCACTCAGGCATGACACAACCCCTCCTCCTCTAACAGTTTGTCAACTCTTGTATCTTACCTATTCTTCTTCTTCACTGTTCACCCTTATTCTTTCTTGGGCTGCTTAAAAAAAGACTATTTGATACTTCGTAGAACTTTGAAGACTGTCAGTCAGAAGGTCAAGTAGTATCACATCGGGCCATATCGTTGGTATCGTTATTATTGATAGGCTTTAAATTTCATGCACTCGCAGCTTTCACCTTTTGTCTCCCCAGGTAAAACAAGAAGTCATTTCAAAAGACTTTATGCGCTCACGTCTAAGTATAAAAATTTGACAATACCATATTCGGCGGTAGGTATTTCATGTGATGAAAGTAGTGTAAGACACCAACTAACTAACCTTCTTTTGACAATTAAATGAACCCATTTTCTCCACCCTTACAAGATCAAGCTTTACTGTTATTATTCTTCTTATATTTATAATCCTCTTACTTTTTTTGTTTATTTTCTCATATGTGTAGACATCATTTAGGCTCTGTAATAAGTGCTAATTTTTGTTTTTCCCTTCACCATGCTACATCAAAACGACATTAGATTCAGTACTCTATAGTATACTAAAAATTTGTATACTGTATCGACAATATTGTTTGATTGCATGAAGGATTTCATCATGAGCTGACATAAGTTAGAGAACCATTGGAAAACAACCTGGGAGTACTGGACAGCTGTTTCGTCAATCTGATTTGGGACTCTTCACCAGTACGCACCCACCACAGGGGTTTGAACCGAGGACCATCTGGTTACAAGGGGAGCTCGTAGACTATATAGCCACTTGAAACCAACCTTAGGATTTAGTGGGAAGCCGTGACCAGTAGGGTACAGCAGGTTGAAGATGAGGCAGTAACTCATCGAAGAAGACATTGCGAAATGGTTGCGCTATGCCATGAATTGGCAGAAGTTAGAATTCAAGGACAGTTGGGTCGGGTCCCAGTGGTTCAGTGGTCTACTAGCTCACCATGTGACCAGAAGGTCCTAGGTTCGAACCCCGATGGGTGCACACTTATGAAGAGTCCCAAACTAGGACGAAACATCTGTCCAGTACTCCCAGGTTTTCCAGTGGTTCTCTAACTGATGTCAGCTCATGATGAAATCCTCCATGCAATCAAACAAAAATCCCTACAAAACCAATACTTGAAATTATTGTTTGAAACAAACCCGCCGTTATTATTCTCATTTTGTACTTTGCACATTTTTGACATTATTTCTGTTTGAAATGTGGGCAAGTTCCTGTGGTTAATTTTAATTATATTTTGAGTAAATTAGATGCATTATTGTGACAAATTCTGAGAATTCCATTCTGTATTGTAAGTACTATCTTTTTTGGAATAAAACAGATTATTACTATTATTATAACGCCTTAAATATCCATACTATTAGTCTTAAACAGGAATATACTGACGAAATGTTTCACAGCCAGGAAATTCAAGTGAAATAAATGTTACAGCATTTCAAGTAGTGATTTATCCTCAGTGCTACATGCTCCTATGTCACAAAACTTGTTAAAAGCAGATAATTTTATGTGAAATCTTTTATCAAGACTTTTCATGAATTAATGTAGGTCAAATATTAGTCAGTTAATGTTTCTCGGTAAAGAAAGAGAGACCGAATTTGCAGTGTGAGATGATATCATCATTCTTTTTCACAGGTTCTCATCAGCTGAACACCACTAAGTCAAATTACGGTGGTTATAAATAATAATGACATTTCATAATTCAGTGCTTGAAAGGTAATAGAGAAAACATTATAAGATGAACGCATTACAATTTTCAGTTTAAGTTACCATCAATTTATATGCTTTCAAACTGGGAAAATATAAGAGGGTGAAAGAAGACAGAAAAATCTAATAAACAGTGTTAGCTTGTACGTCAACATGGCAACTCAGGAAGGTTATAGTTCACCAAATTGAAAACTTCCTCAGTGAGCTGAGCTCACTAGTGTATATGAATAATCAGTGTAATCAAAGTAATACGGTTATCAAAGGAGCGAGAGATTGACTACATTCTCTTTCTGTGTGCATAAGTTTGTTCTGAGTTGTTTGATTGCAATTGCTTCAGCAAATGGTAGTAGATTCTCCGTTCTTTGTATGTTTAATATTTTTAAGGATTTGGAAATCTCGACAAAATAACCCGTATCCACAAGGTGGGTGTCTGGTAATTACATTCTGAGAATATCTGCTTCCTTTTAAGCAGAAGTTTCTTGGAATATGCTCTGATTACCGGATGAAGCCTTTCTTTCTGTCCATCCGGTGTAGTTGCTTCTACAAGTGCACGTAAATTTGTAAACGCAGTTGAAGATGACATCATCAGTGTACTTATCTGGTTTAGATTAACTCAAAGAGCACATGGTGCTGTATTGTGTTGAAAGCTTAGCTTAAGGGAAGCATCTTTCTACAGTTCCTGTCAATCTTTTGTGATACTGCTTCTCCCTTGAAGGGGAAAAATGAACACATTCTTCTTTTCAACAGCTGGATGTTTCGTTTTCTCGTCCTTTTCTTTGCTGTGCTTTTGGATAAATTCCTTTGAATACTTAGCTAAGTCCTTTCAGGATAACCCATGAAGATATCTACCAGAATGAATCCAAGAGGTTAGCCCATAACACCCAATCAATTTATTGGTAAAGCTAATTATTAAATATGAGCTGAGTGTCTTTCGTACAAAGACGTAGTAGGCGCTAATTATGCATAAAGTAAATTTACCGTGTGTTTTCACATCCTCCAGGCTACCTGTATTGGAAATGATTGTTTCCTTGACTTCAATTTTGATCCTTTGTGTGTAAGGTTTCTTTCTCATTGGTTGGTAAATTTTATCTATGTCGATGTGTCTATTGATTGACGATTCACTGGAATACCAGACATGCTTCTAAAATTTCTCTAGCATTCTTGGTGTTTGTAGCATGATTACCATGATGAATACAAGTTTAGGGGCTGTAAAATTTATTATCATTATTATTGTTTCCTTGGGTTCCCAGTGGAACACAGGGCTACAACAACACATCCCCACTTTCTTCTATTTTCTCATCTCCTCTTCAGCTGAACCAATTATCCCCTATAATCTCTGATTTTAATCTTCGCACGATCTCCTCTATGTTGACCTCGCACGAACAACCCACTGGTTGTTTCCCACTAAGATTCCACTTGACCGAAGGCCTGCACTGAGCGTGATGTCATCCGATGGCCCCCTCAACGTATGCCCAGTCCATCTCCATTCACATCTCCCCAACATATTTCTTGAGTAGTCGACTCTTGATTGGTTTGTTGCCAGAATTTCTTACAGCTAATTATTCCCAGCAGGCTGACCGTTTGATCTTCAGTATGGAGCCAGTGACATGGGCAGTTGTTGATAAAAGTCTGCAACAGCTTGCTAGGAATGCTTTCCGTGACGCCAGAGCCAAGCTTCCGACCCATGTGGAAGCACTGACTGACTCCATATTTGCGTTGAAAACCCGAATCTTCTTCCCTTTGCAGAGGAATGCAGAAGATTGCAAAACTGATTTCAGACTGATGAAGGCGTATCTTGCCTTTCCGATTCTGACTGGCTGGCTGGCTGGCTTTGACATCTTAATCCGTGCCGTGTGACTGTGGTTGAAAGGATGCTTACTGTCTAAATAAGTGAAGGAAGTGATCTATGTCAAATATGTCCTGTTGATGATGACTGGTGCTGGTTGTTGTTGTTGCTGGTGGTTGGCTAACTGTTTATCTCCATCACCTCCGTCTTCTCTACGTTCATATGGAGTTTTGTCTTCGCTGACTGCTTCGCCTCTTCAGTCAGTTTGTTGGTTTTCAGCAGTTCGTGTGCCATCAGACATAAATCATCTGTGAAAACTAGACCTTCTGTAGTCTTCTCATCGGTTAGTGCAATATATTCCTATCTTCTAGCTCCCAGCGTGCAGTCTGGCGCATAATCCAGTTCACCACAATTAGGAATATCTTCCGTCATAGCAGTGGACAGCCTTGTTTTACTTTTGTATTCACTTCGATCGCCTCGTTGAGTTTCCTGTTGTGGATCACCTGACACGTGGCAGTGACACATAGAGCCAGTTGTTCAGTGAGGTTGATAAATACTTGAGCACTGCAAACCGTAGTGTTGAAGAATTTTCCAAATTACTTCTCGGTCAACACTGTCTGTTGGAGGCCTTTTCGAAGTCGATGAGGGAAGTTGAGGTAGAGAGATATTTGACTGCCATTCTATGCTTTGTTCTGTGATGATGACGTATAGAATTGCAATTTGATGAGCACATGATTTGCCATTCCTGAATCCAGCTTGTTCCGGGCGGAGTTCTGTATCCAGTGCATCTTTTATTCTATTCGTATGATGCGACCTATTATTAGTACTTGGTGTGGGCAAGA